AAAAAAAAAAAAAAAAAAGAAGGTCCCCTATTAATAGGTACTTAAATAACTACAGTTGGGTGAAATAGATATTGTAATACTAAGATCTCACCCCCCCCCCCAAGCCACTCTAATCTAGAAAACCTTATTTTTTTTCTCAAAAAGTATTCAGTAAGTGAAAACTACCAGAATGTGATTTAATGGAAGCAGCTCAAAGAGATGTGGGGACCAACTGTATTCAAATTCCAGCATGATAGTTTATGGTTGTGGAGCCTTAAGCAATTAAGTGCATCCCACTGAGCTCAGACTCCCACATATGTCAAAAGAGGAGAGCTATTCTTGCAAGGTTGTAAGAATTAAGTAGGTGAAGGGCCCAGTGCTGAGCCCTTAACTGTTAACAGTTTTACTAAATTTCTCTTCAGGTCATGGTTCTTGTACTGGCTTTGGCTCTAGACAAAAATAGCCGTGCTGTTTTAGTCGTGCATTTTTCACTACTGCTCCCTTCACCTGTAATTCTTCACCCTCTTTCTGTCCCACCCCTCATTCTTTGCGTTATCTTCTTAGGCATCACCACTTTCTCCAGAAAGCCTGATCTCTCTTGGTAACTCCTTTCCCAATTAAAACCTCCTTCTCCCAGACTTCCTCCTCTCAGCAAATGGCAGCTCATTACCCAAACCAAATCTTGCAGTTATCCCGAACCCATTATCAAGTTTTCCACTCTACCTCCAGCCACCAGCATCTCTCACCTGGACTACTGTCTCCTAATTGGGCTCCCTGCCTCTACCTTTGCCTTTCTTCAGTTTGTTCTTCACACCAGTAGCCAAAAAGATCCTGTCGAAGCAAGTCAGATCATGCCATTCGTCAGTTTAAAATTCTCCAAAGCCTTTACAACTCATTCATTTATTCAACAAATATTTATTGCATACCTACTATGTGCCAGGTTCTGTAATAGGCAATAATAAAAAAATAATAAAAATCCCTGGCTCACAGAACTCACATTCTACTGGGGGGCAACATATAGTGTGTTATAAGTGCTATGGAGAAAACTTAAGTGGATGGGGAAAAGAGAAGTAAGCATGGCATTGTTGATGATGATTTTAAACAGGATGATAAAGGAAGGCTTATTTAATAAGCTGATTTTCTTATTGCTATTTTTAATTTTTATTTTATTTATTAAATTTTTTTTAACGTTTAAATTTTATCTAAATCCAAGTTAGTTAACATATAGTGTAGTAATGATTTTAGGGTTAGTGATTGATCACTTACATAGAACACCCAGTGCTCATCCCAGCAAGTGCCCTCTTTATACCCATCACCCATTTTGCCCATCGCCCCACCAAACACCCTTCCAACAACCCTCAGCTTGTTCTCTGTATGTAAGAGTCTCTTATGGTTTGCCTCCCTCTCTGTTTTTATCTTATTTTGATAAGGCAACTTTGGAGCAGGGACCTGAGTGAAGTTAAGAGAAAGAAAGCCATTCAGGTATCTCAGGGAAAAATCTGCCAGGAAGAACAGCAAGAGCAAAGGCTCTGAGGCAAGTACCTATAAGGCAAGTTTAAGGAACAAACAGCAAGGGGACCACTGTGACTAGTGTGGAGTGAGAGATTGAGAGAATAACAGAAAATGAAGACAGAGAGGTAAAAGATAACAGCCAAAGTCCTCACAATGGCCTGCAAGGTTCTCGATCTGCAGTATCCAATACAGTATCCACTAGCCACATGTGGCTATCAAAATTCAAATAAAACTGAAAATTCAGTGCCTCGGTTGTACTAGCCACATTACAACCACTCAACAGCCACACGTGGCTGATGGGTAGTGTACTGAACAACACAGATCCAGAACATCTCATTCTGGATGTTATCTCATCACTATCTCAAAGTATTTTTGGACAGGTGGTCTCTATCAGTGGTTCTCAACTGGGGGTGGTGATTTGTCCTCCAGGGTACATTTGGCAAATTGGAGATATTTTTGGTAGCCACAGCTGAGGGGAGGAGATGCCACTGGCATCTAGTGGGTGGAGGCAAGGGACGCTGTTAAGCGTTCTACAATGCATAGAACAGCCCCCACAACAAAGAATTATCCTGCCCAAAATGGTACTAGTGCCTTGATTGAGAAACCTTGCTCTAGATCAATCTCGTCTGCAACTCTAACCTCACCACCTCCTCCTTGTATAAGCCACTCTGGCCTCTTTCCTACACACCAAGCATTCTGCTTCTTCCTTGGAACCTCTAATGTTGTTTCTTCCTACAACACTCTTCTGTGGTCCATTCAAGTTCCTCAGATCTTTCTTTCAATACTACTTAGAGAAGCCTTTCTTGACAGCCTGTATAAAATAGCAACATTCTCTCCATCCCCCTCCTTTTGATATATTTTTCTCCATAGCAGGTCCTGGCACAGAATATAGTTTCTTACATGTTTACTGTCTACTTCCTCCAGCTAGAATGTCATCTACTTGCAACACTCCCAAAACCTCCTTAAAAGAAGGGACTTTGACATTTCTCTGAATCTTCAAATAGTAGCATAGTAGGCACTCTTTAATACTTAATGAAAAAATTGGGGCGCCTGGGTGGCGCAGTCGGTTAAGCGTCCGACTTCAGCCAGGTCACGATCTCGCGGTCCGTGAGTTCGAGCCCCGCGTCAGGCTCTGGGCTGATGGCTCAGAGCCTGGAGCCTGTTTCCGATTCTGTGTCTCCCTCTCTCTCTGCCCCTCCCCCGCTCATGCTCTGTCTCTCTCTGTCCCAAAAATAAATAAACGTTGAAAAAAAAATTAAAAAAAGATACTTAATGAAAAATGAAGAATTTTTATCTGTTGAGTCAATGATACCCCAAAACACACACTAGCAAATTAGCCATGCTCTGAATGCCTACACTACATTTACAGTATATTTTACAAGTGATATATAACTGTGATATTTTTTAAAAGGTTAAATTTGCTCACGTGTATCTGAAGATATGTGTATTTCATCTACTAAGTGGCAATACTCTAATGAAATATTAACCAATCTAAAATATGCCTAAAATATGCAAGGAGATAGAGCCAAGGTGTTAAGTCTGATTCCTCATCGGGCTCGGTCTAGCAGAACATGTTTCCCTCGAGTGAATGTGAGTTGCTGCCAAACAGTAATAAACAGCTACTATATACTGAGTTCTTTCTAGGTGCCAGGCACCGCCCTTCACCCCTCCCCCCTCCCCCAACCCTTCGAGGTAGCTAACTCTACTAGGTCCGTTTCGAGATAGGAAACTGAGGGACGAAGAAGCCAAGAAGCGCGTCCGAGGTCACAGTTAGTGAATGGCGGAGTAAAACCCTGGTAACCTGACTTCCAGAATCCTCAACCTTAAAACTGCTCGCGATACAGCATCGCCTAAAACCAAGCCGGCGAGGACCGGAATGGAAGCAAGAGCCGATCGCAGATTGTTAGGAAATCAAGAGGGCTTGACATAGGATAGGTGATTTTAACTATTCACAGTATAATGCGAAACAAAAGCGAATTATTTTAACACTGTACTATGTAAGTTAAGAATACCAACTACAGGTGCACCCAACTCAGAATTGGCCGCAGAAGACGTTCAAGCGCTCCCGGGGGTCAGGCCCAGGGGCGGGCAGCAGGCTCCTCCATTGGCCGGCCCCGCGGCATCATGGGAGCTCGTCGTGCGCGGGGACCGCCACCCGCTTTCCACGCACCTGCACTTGCGCAGCCCTCCCAGCCGCTTTTTTGGAGGATGGACTCCTGAAGAGCTCAAGCTTCTCTTTCTGCAACCAGATCCCTCAGGGAAGATCCCTGTTCTCCGTGCAAACGCGGTACTTCCCTAAAGTGAGATCCGTTGAAGTCCCCTCCGTCCTGTCCAGCCCGGAACGACAAGTCGGAACACCACATTTCCTGAACTGACCTTGTTGGCAATCACTTCCGCCCAGGCGTTTGGAACACCCGAGGCCCTTTGGCTGCGAACAACAGGCAAGGCACTTCCGGTGTATGTTGCCTAGGCGCCGGCCTGCTGGGCCTGAAGGGACGACGTTGCTGGGTCGTCCCCTCCCCCCCCATTTTTGGGGGCCGAGATGTCGGGGCTCAGCTACCCAGAGATGGAGGGCTGTCGTAACCTGCTCGGCCTACTAGACCACGATGATATCATGGCCCTGTGCGACACCATCACCAACCGCCTGGTGCAGCCTGAGGACCGCCAAGGTAAGTGCTGACTTCTCCGCGAGAGCGGACGCCCCTCCCGAGGCTTCATCGAGACCCCAGGTGTCGGGAGCCTGAGAATAGAGAAGGTGCGTGACCTCGCCCCGCGATGGGGCCCGGACCGGGCTGAGGCGGAACTCTTGGGAGTCTCAGCCACCGCCGCTGCTCCGCGGCCGGGGAACCTCCGCGCACCTTCAGGTGGCACTGACCCGCCAGCTCCCTGGGGGAGGTGATGGCACTGGAAACGGCGCAGCTTCCAGGTTTTATGTGTTGGGTGTTAGGGGCATATGCTTATTTTTTTCGAAAATTGAAGTGTACGTAAATAGTCGTTTTTTTTTTTCAAAATTTCCGGGGAGCCAGGGTGTTTTCCATTTTGCGTCTCGATTCAGCTGGGGAGTGTTAGCTGGTGAGCCGAGGAGTCAGCTGCTGCTCATGTTTGTCTCTCCGAGCTTGCGGGAGGAGATCTTAAACACTTTCAGTTTCCTAGGTAAAACAGCTGCTGTAATAAAAGAGCAGATCGTTTGAATCCGTGTCTCTTTTTGGATCCAGTTTTTTTTTTTTTCTGAGATGATTTTGAGCAATAGGAATACATTATTTTCAGAGCCAAACAAACATTTCGGTAGATTTGAGCGTTATTAATATTAAGCCTGATTTGTAACTACTCCACATAAAAATGTAATCAAGAAGCTTAAGTGTTTATTTCGCTTGGTATATCATCTGGAGAGCTTTATTTTAAATTTGCTGAATTTTACTTTAAAATGTGAAAATTCCAGACTGCTATGTTAGTATGACTTCAATATCTACAAAAGGTTGTGCTTTTAAGTCGGATTTACATTTCCATTTAAAGAAATCATTCACTTGAAACTTCGAACCATGAACATTAAAAGAAGAAATTCCTAAGACTTTAGACTGCACAGTTTTAGACTTATATGTAGTTCTTCAGCATTTAAATATTTCACATGCTACTCACACCTAAACAGGGTGAGTGTGAATTTAAAATTGATAGATAAAAATGCTGGATTTAATTGATGGTGGGTCTAAAAGTAAATAAGGAAAAGAGATGTTAAATGATTTGAAAAGATACTTGTTAGAGAGGAAGAAAATAATTAGCATATGAAAAGATAACTTCTTTAAAAAGCAGTGAAATGAAAGCCAAAAACAGTGTCTTTTCAGTCTACCATTGTGGCAAAAAAATGAAACGTGTAAATGTCATAAATGGTGGTCTTGCAGAGCAACTTTTTGACAGTTATTGGAGGAGTGTAAATTAGAACTTTGGAAAACAGGTTTAACAGTATCTCCAAAAATGGAAGATTTGCTTAATTCTGGGCTCATATTCTGGACCTGAGCTTCTCAAACTACTGTGCCTGTGACTCAGTCCCTCAGGGATCTTGTGAAAATGCAGACTCTGATTCAGTAGTTTTTGGATGGCCCCAGAAATTCAGCATTTCTGACAAGCTCCCAGATGATGCTCATGATGCTTGCCCCAAGTCTTAGTTCTGCCACTTCTTGGAAGCATGATTGTTGATACCTCATATATCCTCAGCTTTCATTATTTGTAGAGTGAGGAGATTAAAAGTCATTGCATATCTAAAATACTGTAATTTTACCTATGTTAGAGATTATAAATGAATTTAGGTCCATTGGCCTTCTAAAAAAAAATTTTTTTTTCTCTGGCTCCATTTTTTTCTTAAACCATGTGACTTAAAAGAAAATGCAAAAATTTTACTATCTTATGAGAAGTGAAAGGAAGAGGTAAATAAGGTAGGGAAGTTTAAAACATAAAGACATTTTTTAAATTTATTTATTTTCAACATTTATTTATTGTTGAGAGACAGAACCAGCAGGGGAAGGGAAGAAAGAGAGGGAGACACAGAATCTGAAGCAGGCTCCAGGCTCTGAGCTGTCAGCACAGAGCCCAAGGTGGGGCTCAAACCCACGAACCACAAGATCATGACCTGAGCTGAAGTCAGATGCTTAACTGACTGAGCCACCCAGGCGCCCCAAGAAAATTATTTTTAAAACCCCAAACTTGATAACCCACTTCCTGTTTTTTTTTTTTTTTAAGTTTGTTTATTTATTTTGAGAGAGAAAGAGTGTGAGCAGAGGGGCAGGGAGAGAGGAGAGAATCCAACAGGCTCTGCGCTGTCAGCTTAGAGCCAGACATGGGGCTTGAACCCATGAACCTTGAGATCATGACCTGAGCTGAAACCCAAGAGTTAGATGCTTAACTGACTGACCCAGGCGCCCCCCACTTCTTGGTTTTGTTAAAATAACCATCTCATGCCAAAGCAATGCCATGACAAGAATTTATAAATATTATTTGATAGGGTTTCTGCTGACCTTGGATCGATTTACATGACTTAGGGTTTTCTACTAATTTTTATTATTTCCTTCCAGATGCCATTCGTGCAATATTAGTGTACAGTCAAAGTGTAGAAGAGCTTTTGAGGCGTAAGAAAGTCCACCGGGAAGTCATATTTAAGTACTTGGCAACACAGGGGGTTATTATACCTCCAGCTACTGAAAAACACAATCTTATTCAGCATGCAAAGGATTACTGGAAAAGGCAGTTACAGCCAAAATTGAAGGAAACACCAGAGCCAGTTAAGACAGAGGACATGAGACTCTTTCAACAGGTAAAATAGATCTTACAGTTATACCCTAAGTCACAGTTCTGTCTAAACTCTGTAGATAATCCTAGATCACTGGGAACATGGCTAATACTATTTTGTTTTTTATAATTTTAGCTTTACTCCATATCCTTTGCATCCTAGAGGAAGATAAGTAAAGCACCTAAAGAAAGGAAATATTTTTGACATTTAGTAATATACATAAAAGATTGTATTGATTTAGGAGGGAAAAATGCTTTTATCACTTTATCAAATGAAGACTATTGGCTTTGTAAAGAGAGTGGATAAACCGCAGTTCCCGTTTAATTTTAATTTAGCTTCTGATTCTCTAATGTTTTTGTTCACTTTAAAAGAATGCTATTATAGCCCTTTCTCATTTTGAAGACTTTCTTTGATATTAAATTGATACTAGATTGTAAATTCCATGAGAAAAACTTAAATATTTTTTAAATTTGATTTTTTTTTTTCTTTTTTAGCTAGGAAAAATCCTCTTGTAATAATTTCCTTCAGCTCACATTGGCTGTTTCTTTGTATCTCCACTGTATGTTTTAGATACTGTGTGAATATTTAAATGCTGATTGTATGAATGCTAGGTAATTTATAAAGTTTAAACTACAAACTTTGAATCAGTGAAGTTTTACAGTGAGAGGTATTTGCTTTCATATTAGGAAAGAATCTAAGCTTTTTTAATGTGCTTAGAAAGGATGCCAACTCTGAAATCATACGGATGTGACTTAAAAATAGGGTGTGCCATACGCTAGGTGTGAACTTCAGCAAGTAACCTGACCTTTCTGAGCCCTGTTTACTTTATCTATAAAGCCCACATATGATAGTTTCTATGTCACAAGGTTCATGAAGATAGAAGGAAATAGAATATAAGTGCCAAGCACAGAGCCTAATATATTCAGTCAAAGATGCTCTGTCAATACAAGATCTCTTACCATCAAAATGAGTTACTATACTCTGGAACACAGATGAATAAAATCTAGCCTCTCAGGTATGTTTTTTGCAATAACATTTTCTTTGAAAAAAAGAGAAATAACAATATAAAATTAATCCCAATCCTAAAAAGTAATGTATTTCAATCATATTAGATTTGTCTGTTTAAAGATAGTGAAAATGCTCATTTATTATCTACGATATTGTAGTAGTTTAAATGCAACAGCGTATGCATTTAAAGCATACAGTTTGAAGGTTTTGACAGACATTTGTGAAACCGCTGCCACATATAAGAGAAAATGCTTACATAAATCATTATTGACTGTTCATGCTGATATTTTGAGAGGCTTTATTAACCTTAATTTCTTAGCTGAATTTTCATATGTTTAAGCTGGGAAATTGTAAAATGATTTTTCCCCTTTTTGGAAAAACACTTGACTTTTTGCATGATGGTTTCAGTGGGTTCACCTGTAGTTCGTTTAGCTTCTGCTGTACTCCGTATACTCAAACTTACCTCTAAAATGGGCCAGATAGAAAAAAATACGAGAACTAACCTTTGTTTTATTTTATACTTTATTTATCTTAATCAGCCGGAAAAAGAAGATAAGAAAGCTGAAAAAGTTGATTTTCGTCGATTAGGAGAAGAATTCTGTCACTGGTTCTTTGAACTTCTTAATTCTCAGAATCCTTTCCTGGGACCGCCTCAAGATGAATGGGGGCCACAGCACTTCTGGCACGATGTCAAGCTTAGGTTTTATTACAACACCTCTGAACAAAATGTGATAGACTACTGTGGAGCAGAAATTGTAAGCCTTCGTCTGCTGTCACTAGTGAAAGAAGAGTATCTTTTTCTCAGTCCCAATCTAGATGCCAGTGGACTGAAATGTGCTTCTTCTCCCCATGGTCTAGTTATGGTTGGAGTTGCTGGGACTGTCCACCGAGGGAACACTTGTTTGGGCATTTTTGAACAAATATTTGGACTCATACGCTGCCCTTTTGTGGAAAATACTTGGAAAATCAAATTTATCAACCTGAGAATTATTGGAGAGGGTTCTCTTACTCCTGGAACATTAATGAAACCAGCTATTACATTCGAACCTGGTGATCTAGAGAGCTTTTATAACGTAATTACTTCATGTGGTACCAACGAAATACAAGTTGATGTAAGGCAGGCATTGGATAGTGGAACTGGAGACCAAGCTTTATGCAGTGGAGATGAGGCATTGTTGAACAAAAGAGAACTGAGTTTACCCAACCCTCTAAAGCATTGAGCACTGTATGTCAGTCTACAAAATACAGAAACTCTTCCAAATATCACATCAGTAATGTTTAAGTGGTTTCAGATGGGAGGATTGACATATTTTAGTTGAAATATCTTTCTTGACTACAGACTAATATATTATGTGAATACTTGCCTCTTTCTACCTGAGTTGCAGCCAATGTTCTGAAAGCTTAATGCAGTTCATCAAATAAATCCCACTTTAGATGGTATAACTAACGGTGTGCCTTAGAAACCAGGTAATACTTTCATTTTACTTAGTATTCTAATATCTGTACTTTTCATATGAGAGAGATTTAATGTAAACTCAAAAGTTATCATTTTAGGAAACTTGAATAACATTCTCACGAAAAAGTCCAATAATTTAGCAGGTAGATAAAAAATTATTTTCCCTTTTTAAAATTTGAGGAACATTTTTCAAAAGTTACCTATAGTAGTCCAAGCTGATCAAAGCCTTCAGCTAACAGTTTTATACAGCATTTATTGTAGTACCGTATAGAGGAAACATACTGTTGAAATTTTTAAAGAGGTGTGCCCAGTTCCTTTACTGTCTTCCTCTTGCTTGATCTTGGAAGAGGTGACAAAAACATAAAACAGAAAACACACATACATAAATTTATAATGTGGGATATCTATTATATACATATATATACTCCCACATCATAAATTAAAATTATTAGGGTTTTTCACCCCCAAATTGTTAATACAAGGTTTGAATTACAAGATTAAGTTGCCAGATTAATTACTTAGTTGCTTTAGGGCTTAAATTCTTCATCACCTGGCAACTATTTGCTGATCTTGGATTTAGTTAGTAATTTTAATTTACAAAATTTCCATATGGAAAAAATTGAGCTGGGCATTTTTGTGATGATGTGCTGTACATGGTAAATTTTTACCTTTAACTCTTCTGATGATCACCTAGGGTAATAAGAAATTTTGGAAGCAAGAGGAACAAACTCATCTTTTTTTTTTTTTTTTTTTTTTTAATGCCATGCCTTTATGAGGAGTATAAATTGATACGTCTTAAAATAAGAACTTAATAAAGGAGGCAAATCCCTGGTCTGCTCTAAGAATAGTGTATTGTTTAAAGACAGGTTATGGTTTTCTCCTTTAAGTATAGAGTATCATTATAACATGTACTCAATAAATTTCCTAAGTAAAGGATAAAATTAAAAAATATTCCCATCTGTTTTCTTTGTGGCGTAATGTCGAGTACTGCAGAAATACTACTATAGATGCTCAGGATGGGCCGAAGTTGCCTCTAGCTACCTTCAGTATTTACTTTTTTGAATTCGTGTAATGCTCAAGTAAGGTTGCAGTGTCTGTATGTTCTTTTTTTTTTTTTTTTTTTCCTGTATGTTCTTTTAATCAGTCTTGGAAATTTGAAATCTTCCTGACAGACTCTCTCACTTGAGGATTGGAATTATGATTTATTTTCTGTGAATCCCCACAGCTGGGCAACACAGTAGGACCTAATGTTTAACTGAATGGGTAAAGGAATGAGCAAGCCAAGCTTACATACTGTGTAGAAGACTTTTCTGCATCTAGATTTTGTCTTTGGTTCTTATCACTGGTGGTGTTTTGATCATTTCATCTGTTTGAATTTCATACATGGATACACTGAAACTTTGAGGATCCAAGCTAATTCAGATTTGGGGGAAATTTTAACCTTTTAAAATTTACTCAATTTAAAAGCCCAGGGGTCAGAATGGGATAAACTGAAAGGCCCTAACCATTATAGGTGAAGTGTATACTCTTCTGTTCAAAGAAAGAAGACCTGGAGATTCTTGAAATTTATTCATGAAGTTTAAAGTTTGGTCAGGTCTTGGAGAAAGTCCCAAAGCACAGTGCAGATTGAACTCTACTTTTGCTACCATCCATTTGTTTTGTTTATGTTAGGGAATGGCAGAGACCCCAGCTTTTGGTCTTTTTTGCTTCATTTCACCCTCAGCTGGAGTGTGAAAGTTGTTGGAGTGAAGAAGTAAAGAATACAACACTCTACACATATTTCATAGTAATTGAATAGTCAAGCCAGGGGGGCCGCTGGGCTTTATTTACTGTAGACTGATTTGCCATAGCCTAATAATAGGGCATACGTCAAGTACCTGTTCTTGTTACTATAGCTTAAAGTAATTTACATTGGGATTTTTTATTAGTATCTAGAATGCCAAAAAAAAAAAAAATTACATGAGTCTTATTAACTAAAATGCCAAATAATAGAAGCCATCTCTATTTTATGAAATTAACTTGCAAATGGCCAACATAAGAAATGTTCCTATATTTTCGGAAAAGTAGTATTCTTATGCTAAAGAAAGGCTAGTTACCCAGTGCCTGTAAGAAATTGTAATAGCACCAGAAAAAGATTTAAAGAATAGTGGGTTGGGGGCGCCTGCGTGGCTCAGTTAAGCATCTGACTTTGGCTTAGGTCATGATATCACAATTCATAGGTTTGAGCCCCACGTAGGGCTCTGTGCCTGCTCTGTGCCTCAGGGCCTGCTTCAGATTCTGTGTCTCCCTCTTTCTCTGCCCCTCTCTGCTTGCTCTTGCTCTGTCTCTCTCAAAGAAACATTTAAAAGTTTTTAAAGAAATGGTTTAATTAAAAACATAATCAGCAATATTGTGTTTTAACAAAACGGCTCTTATGGCTAGATGATAAAAGTGAATGAAAACTATACTTTAGCGTTTTTATTAGCATCTGTATTCACAAATTTTCTTCACTAGTTCTTAATTTGGGCTGTGGCTAGTGGCCATCAAGTTTTGAAAAATGAGAACTGTATGTTCTTTCTCCCCAGAAAAAGATGTGTTTGCATATATATCACAATTTTTGCATTATTTCAGTGAGTTTTTGGGTTTCCCCAAAGCACATCTGTGAATCCTATAGGGATCCTTATAACTTCGAGTTGAAATCCTGCTAATAATAGTTGTATTCTCTCAGGTTATTCTTGGATACTAAAATTATTTTTAGAAAATTTTGTGCCCTTTGCCAGAGTCCCTAAGCTGGAGGACTAAATCTTCTTTTTGAATGAAAGGATAATTTGTAGATTTTGTTTTTCAAAAAATGTCAGATATTAAGACAAAACCCACTGAATTACTGTCAATTGAAACAAAAATATTCAGAATTCGTTTTATTTTGGCAAGATAAATTTAATGAACATCAGAGAAACTGTGAGAGAAAAATGTGAAAAGTATTAAAAAAAATTCTCTAGATCTTTACAAAAAGTTGTCCTAAGATGTTTATTTAGTAATGATTGTATACTGCCAATTTTGATGAAGGATTTCAAAAATAGGATCATTTCCTCCAAAGGGCTTGTATATGTGGTCTCACCTTACACCATTCCCTCTCGCCTCCCCTCACCCCACCCTATTTATAATCTTCGTATATACTCACTTTGAATGCAGATAGCACAACAGCAAGTGCTGGGAAATAAGACTTTCTGCATTTGGGTTCTCTTCAAGTTTATTTGGCATATATTTATGGAGCATCTACAATTTATAAATCCCTGAATCAAGCAGAAGATAAAATAATAATAGATTACTTATTTAAACTTTGCATGTTAAATTTCAGTTTCTTGGTTTAAATATCGTTTTTTTCCCCATTTTTTAAGTTTATTTATTTTGAGACAGAGCATGTGAACAGGGGAGGGGCAGAGAGAGAGGGAGAGAATCCCAAGCAGGCTCTGTGCTGCCAGTGCAGAGCCTGACATGGGGCTCAAATTCACAAACGGTGAGATCATGACCTAAACTGAAACCAAGAGTTGGACGCTTAACCCATTGAGCCACCCATGTGCCCCTCTGGGTTTAAATATCTTAAGGTGAGAACTACTTGAGGCCCTTTTCAGAAGGGTGTGGTTATATCCTTTTGTATGGTTCAGGAAAAAACACTTAGCTTAAATTTTAGCCCTGTGGCCCTAGCTATATCATATTGATTATTATCAACACAGAATATAGGATATTTTGACAGACCACTTAGGGTTGGAAGAAAAATATTTAAAATGCACTGAATCTTTTTAGCTTTATTTTTTTCTAGTTTGAACCTTTCCAGTAGTCCTTCAGTAAAACAATATTAAAATGGAGTATTAGGGGCGCCTGGGTGGCTCAGTCTGTTGAGTGTCTGACTCTTGATCTCAGCTCACATCATCATCTCACAGTTCATGAAATCAAGCCCCGTGTCAGGCTCTCCGCTGATGGCGTGGAGCTTGTTTGGGATTCTCTCTCTCCCTCTCTGCCCCTATCCCACTCGCTTTCAAAAGTAAAGTTAATAAAATGAAGTATTATATTTACTGTGAGATATAATGTACCCCCCAAACACTAAACCATAAACTCCAGAGTCATGTTAGTCATGGAATGATCTATTTCAGCTGCTGCTGTAGAATTTCTTTACATAGATATTGACTTAATAATTTATTTCTTTGCTTTAATATTTTTTACATATTTATAACATTAAAATTTCCTTAAAGTGCAGCTTTTGCCCTCTCTTCCATGCTCTGATTTTCAGTAGTGTTGCATTACCTCCAAAATAAAGTCCAGATTTTATAATTTGGTTCTTATCACCATCTACGTTTGTTTTCACTCATTTTTCATGGATTGGTCCAGCCAACAGATGCTATTAAGTAGTCTTAGTATTTGTCCTGTATTTACTTAGCCCTTTGCTTTTATTGGCAAGTAGACAGTACTTAGAGTAGTTTGATGTAGGATTTTTCAACTGCACGAAGGCATGAAATTAAAATGTATTCAGTAAAAATGATACTTTTTTTTTTTAAATTTTATTTAATCTCTTCATCCCATGTGGGGCTTGAACTCACAACCCAAAGATCAAGAGTCGCATGCTCCTTTGATTGAGCCAGCCAAGCACCCCGGTAGAAACCGTACTTTGAAGTTTGAATTTTGTTCTTCTCACAGGCTGGAGATATGGGGGACAATAGGTGCTGGGTGGCGGCAGGGAACTGCACTTCCAGTTAGCCATGCAATCACAAGGGTAAGCAACCAATATACTTCAAATCATTCTGTATCCATATGGTCATTGTTTTTTATGTTCATAGAGTATCCAATAAATTACATGAGATATTCAACACCTTATCA